ATGGAATTGTAGTGCAAAATGTTGTTAAATTTTTTAAAAGCTTAAGTATAAACATTTTTATGCAACAAAATGTTGCACGATGGGACGATCTGGCAGTAAAAAATACTAAGAAAAGAGTATTTATCTTAAAAATTTATAAAATTGTTATTTGAATATTTATTACAATTATGTAAAGATATTTAATATGATTTTGGTTCAAAGAAAAATGAATGAATAGGTATTTAAACATTTATTGGAACTCTGTGGACATATTTATCATGATTGTAGCACATACCCTATATCATAGAGTCTATATTTCCAACATTTTTATAATGGTTAATGTCTTTAAATAATGTTATCATAATACTAATACTAAAAGTTTAAATGTTTCTTCTATAATACTTAAATAAATTTGTCCTTACTTATTTATATAATTAAATATCTTACTGTATTTTCTTAGTTCACCCTAACAAGTTATCACTGTTTTGAGCAACATTTTCAGGGGGTGTTGTGGGTAGATAATAAAATTTTCCTAGACCAGGGGTCATCCCTATTAGGTAACGGCAAATGTTTCCAACCAGTTCCATTTCCTGTTGCGTCCTTAACGATTTGATTTAATTGAACGAATCCTGGGTTGCGTGTTTAATGTTTCCTGGTTGCAAAATTAAAAGGGAATGGCACTGAAAATAGTCACTGCTTTGACATTTGGTGTTTAAAACGGGGGAGGGAGGGTGTGGCCAGTGCATAAAATTCTAAACAAAATTGTCAATAAAATTAGACAATTGAATTGAAGAATTCAATATAAATGAACCCTGGAAAATACATAAGTAGGTGAATATAGAAATACATTTATTTGTTGTGTAAATAAAAGTATATAAAATAATTGTTTAAAATAAGTAAAAGAATTTGTAAATGAGAATTATGTAATTTTCTTTCAGACATCGGTTTTTATAATATCAAAGGTGAGACCAAAAATAATAATATAATGGCTCTTAAACGTTAGTTTACTCATATTTTATAGAGAAATTAACTGGACTTTAATTATACCTCAAAATCTAGGTAGAGATGCTAAAAAGCACCTTTAAAAATGCAAACCTCTACTATAATCTTTGATTCTGATAATATCTATAACTCATTTATTGAGAGTTCCATGCTTTTGATGTAATTAATACTATAATTTTTTAAACTATTCTCTCACTTTTTCTGCAATTCGAGAATTTATTCCCCAGGACGCCAGGACATTGTATCATTTGAGTGGAAATGCATAAATAGCTTCTGTAAATCACCTGGCGACGACAGTGTCAGTCAATCTGATCCCAAAGTGACGCCCCCTTTACAAATTTTGGTCCATTTCGAGAGGCGACCGGAGTAGAGCAAGGATTAAGGGTGGCAAAAGGACAATTAGCGACGGTCGCAGCTAATTATGATCCTGTCGCCGCGGGTGGTATATGTGTGTGTTTGTGTCCAGGAGGCTGGCAGGACATCGGCTCACATTTGCGGTTCAATGGCACAGAGACCGTATTTCAGTTTTCGCCGGCGAAACCCTTAATTAACTTTGTTGGCCAAAATCATCTGGCCATTGTCAAGGCACACGGCTTTTGTTTTCCTTTTTTTTGTTTTGTTTTGTTTGGTTTTGTTGCAATGCGATCAGGATATCCGAGACTCAAGAGCCAAAAGGACCAAAACAAAACTAAAAACCAAAACAAAGACCAGGACAAACGGGCTCATATTCGTTGCCATGTCGCGTGCTCAAAAGAAAATTAAATATAGGTTTCTGTTTACAAACCGAAAATCCACCAGGATATGGAGGTCCAGTAAGTTAGAGGGGGTTTCTAAATATATTTTAAGAATATATCATTAGATAGTTAAGCAGTTTTAAGGTTTTAACAGTATTTAACTAACATTATACATAATTATATAATATTTTGAAGAGTTTTCTTCATAGAGAATGGTTTGATTTCTAAAAAAATATATTTAAAGAACAGAAATAAATGTACAATTTTACTATATTATTATTTGTATTATTATAATATATATTTCTTAATTTTTCTTTTTATATAGTTATTTTGGATTCTTACTAGGAACTGTATACAAATTTCTTTTATTTTATCTTACAGTTCTGAAGATTATAAAACCCACAGAAGATATTTTAAAATCCCAAAAAGGTTATCAATCATTAGAAAAAATAAAAAAATATATATAATTATAATTATCTTCTCGGTATTAATTCCCAATTGCACAATTATTTTCTTTCAGTATGTTGGGTGAAAAGAGTCCTTGTCCTTGTCCTTGTCCCTGGTCCTATCGAATTTTACACCTACTCAAGCGAACTTTGGGTAGGCAATCGCTGCCTGCTGTCTGACCACAGACATCCTGCTGGCGAGCACACACACCAGGACACTCACCTGAGTGTGTTGGCATGGAGTCCTTGGACTCCTTTGTGCCGCACACTCATTATGCCATGTGGTCAAACACAAAGTATGTCTGCATGTGGTGCGAACCAACAATGTTTCTTTGAAGATATATATATTTTATATATATATATATATTCCTATATATAGAAAAGAGGAAGTAAAAAAAATGGTTACAAAATTCCCATGCCGAACATATCCTGGAGCTGTGCAAATTTTAGGGCTTCTCACCCGTGCCTGCCAGAGAGGAATGTGTGGATAATGCGTTGCCATTTAACGCATTACTGGGTCCACCGACTCCTGTGCGCATCCTGTGCGTCCTGTGAGTCCTGCTGGTGGCAGGAAAAAATTCCATACCAATTACAAGCCAAGTAAGAACCACAGAATACCCTTTAAAATCATATTTGAAGAGGCATTAAAGTCAGAATAATAGATTTTGTGCAAGTACTTGTTTTATGTAATTTATTTAAATATTTTAAACAAAAATATATAATATAATTCCCAAAGAATATTAGTATAATATTTTCAAATATTTATTTATAATATTTAGGCATTTATATGTATAAAATTTTACATTAAACCAATAAAAACAGCAAAAGTTTATTAATATTTACGAAACTTTTCTCCTTTTTAGAAACTTTCTGTGAGTTCAGCATTCAAGCAAATATATAAAAGGGTTTTAATTATCTGCATTTTTCAAAATCCCCCTTCTAATATACCCTACCTACAGGGTATAAAAACAAGAGTCTGCGGCTTGCCCTTTTTTATAATTTTTTGTATTTTGTGTAAACCATAATTATTAGCTTTTTGGTTAGATAAGGCGTCGCCTGGTCGTCTGGCTGTTGCCTCGAAAGGATGCTTTGTTGTGGTCATTATTCTACCGCTACTCACCCAGCTCCTTGGCCACTTTAGTGGCAGGACAATGGCACAACATCTTCAGCAGGACGAAGTTGAATAAAGCGGAGGAGTGTGGAATTTACTTCATCAAAATTTATAGCTTTATTTTCAATGAATTTTTTAGTTAAAGCTTAAATAGGTAAAAGAAGCAGCTCAAGAAAATCTTATATTTCCAATATTTTTAATTCCCAGGATTCTCTCACTCTTCCCTATAATTTCTTTTATAACAATTTAATTTCCCAATAAATTCAATCATTTTGATTAGATAAACACTAATTGCTTGGTTTTTATTTGAAAAGTACCAGCATATATTTTTGTGGCATTATCAAACTGACCAAAATGACCAAATGCAAGGGAAAAATTGAGAAATTTGGGAATTGGGAAATTGGAAAATTGAGAAAATTCAAGATACGAAATTAGAGCTTGGAAAGCAGAACCGTGAGAAGGTAATCCGATAGTTTTTGCTGCCTTAGGAACCTGCCCCCGAAAACTGGATGTCAGTCCCTCACTCCCTCGCCTGTCGCTAATCTACACTCGCCGCACACTATTTATTGAGACGAGAGAGCGTGGCATTATTTCGTTTGGGTTTTGGGTTACCTTGCAACCTTTATAGATCCGGGTACACATGAAAAAAAAATATCAAGAAAAATTCATTTTGGCGATTTTTTATAACCAAAATATTCGGTTTTATACGATTTTTTTTTGCAAAAAATTAAGGAACTGTGTCTAAGTATGATTTTTACTTTATGAAAATGTATTTTTATTAAATTCAATTATAGATTTATATATATTGTTTAGTTTAGTTTATTATTAGTTGAGTTTTATTTATTAATACAAAATGTGTGTGTATCTAGTTTTAATTACCAGTCAAAAATGTTCACCATTTTATAAATAATAATAATGTATGTAAAATAAATATATATTTTTTTTTATTTATTAAAACATTTAAGGAGTATTGTCTAAAAATTCTAGATAATTCCAAGCAAAACTAAGGGAGATATGATTTTTTAAACGTTCCTACTAGCAGCCCACTTAAATTCTTAAATAAATAAAATATACGGTTCATATATTGAACACATATGTATATTTATATAATGTAAAAATATATTAAAGTTATAATTTTAATAAGAATGCCATATATATTTCTCATACATATTTCTCATACATCATTTACAAATTCTCTCTGTATTTTTAACATAATGACAACTCTGTTAATGTCAATATTTGTTTGTTACCGCGTGGCATTTTCTAGCGAATTTCTTCACCGCTTTTGTCTACGGGTTCTTTTCAGTTTTCAGTTATCGGTTTTTAGGATTTCCGAGGGTTTAGGTTTCGTGGCATTTGCGACTTGGTCGGCAGCACAAAAAGGAATTATGTCCACGGGGCCATAAAACCAAACAAAAGGCAAAAACAAAGGCCTGTTCCGCCGTGTGTGTGATTATGTAAGACGCAGTTGCACATCAACGGATCGTATTTGCCAACAACAAACAGTCTGGTTGCATTTCCCGAACGGAAATTGGGGATATCCAGGAGAAACCAAGGAAACCAGAATCAGAAGCAAAACCGGGAAGCTCGGCTTTTGTTTTAAACCTAACTTCATCCTTTTCAACAGATAACAAAATTGGGTCACACTAAATATACCAAAAAACTAGCTTTAATACTGAAAAAAAAATATATATATATATATCAGAAAACTTTGGCTGCCCTGGTTCGCGAAAATTTCTTCTTTTTGTTTTGGAAAATTTTCTCCATCAAGCAGCAATTTTCACTAAAAAATTTCCTTTTGTGTGATAAACCCTAATTGGCCGAGTTTCAATATTAAAATAAAACGATTCAAATTAACCAGAAACCAAGAAAAGTAAGTTACAAACTACATACGTATCATGTAGCCTGTGAAAATGTTGGTCAGTTTCTAGAATTTTCTGGTAAGAGGCACAACGAAATTGAAAGCAAAACAAATATCAAAAACAAAACAAACTGAAAACAAAAATGAAGCTAAAGGAGCCATGCAAAATCCCAGCCGAAGAGAATGACCTGTTCAAGGAGGCTCATCGGGCCATCGAAGAGAATGGTGTTGTGAATGACGAAGAGGATCCTGAAGAGTTTGAGGAAGTTAATGGGCAATTAGATTTTTTGAATGCATTAAATTATGCACACGATGTTGAGGCGAACGCTGATGGTGGTGACGAAAATGAAATGTCCTCCGATGAAAATGCCGAAGAAGATGAATATTGTCCCGTCCCCCAGCCGCAGGGTTTTATCGATACGGAATCCCAAGACCCAGTGTCCCCATTCGGCTGTGGCTCCGATATGTGTCCAGTGTGCAGTCGCCTGTAACAGGAAACTCCAAATTCCAAACTCATCTGATCACTTTCTTTGGGATTATCACGACAAAATCCCAGAATTAATAAAACTTTTGCCAAAACTCAAAAACTCTAAACTTGCAAACTTCTTCCGATCATTTTCTTTTTGGGATCTCGCTTACTGAAGTCCTGGAGTCCTGGTTGGAGTGCCCTCCCTTAGTGTCCTCGCTAAGCGGATTAGGTTACACCAGAATCGTGTCCGGGACAAAGGACTTCACAGAACACAACAAAAAAAAAAAAAGAAAGAAGTACAAAAAAGGGGAGGAAGCATGAACAATAGTGCCGCATCATGTGGCAAGTGGATTGCCAGCTTGTAATCCGTTCCAGAAAAAAACGCACTTGCTACACGGTTATTGCATCATCGCCTTATTGTCCCAAAGCGATTAGCACTGCAGTCTTAATTGTGCCCCATTGGAGGCATCATTCCTAATTTTATTGCTACAGATTATACACATATTTAATGCAATTGATTTCACTTCTTAGGCGTGAACGTGAATAGCACAAACAGCTGATGCAGCTTTGTTTACTTTGGGAATAGTTCCAAAATGGCGACATTGAAAGCGTTCATTTGGAATGCTTAATAATAATAGGCATTAATATACAAGTTTAAAATAATGAGGATAAAATAATGAGGATAATTATATCAAATTCCACTTTAAAGTAGAAATCAAGAATCAAGATCAAGGAGCCTTGATTTATGCATTGACAGCCCCCGAATGCTGTGTTTCAGATTGTTTTCATACATTTTTAAGCAAAAATAATTAGTATCTTTAAAAACAATAAAAAATTAAAAAAGAGTTAGAGCAGACACTTGCTTAATTGCATTATAATTCGATATTTTATGGTATTTTTGTTCAAATAAAATATATTTCTTCAGGGCGAATGGCAATCTTGAGTGTCTTTTGTTTACATTTTCTTGTTTTATATACAAAAAATATATGTATAACCCATTAGATAATGTGATTACATATGATTATGTTATTGTCCTATACAATCGTACTAGAAATCTTTTCTTTATGTACTAATATATTTTGAAATAAAATTTAGCAAATAATGAATATTTCCCTATACATATGTATGTATAATTTTTGATTGCTCATTATGCCCAATTTTTTTTTGGGGGAGTCTTCGCATTCCGCTCAAGTGGCCCATTGTCAGTGCCGCAGACCAGAAAAGCAAACTGTCTCGAGAGCGACTTGAGGCCAGGCAAAAAGTACAGTCACCACCGGATGGATGGATGGACGACACAGCTGCTCCTGCTGCTGTCCAACCCCTGACCCCTGATGCTCATCCCACTCCACCCTCCCCCCTGCTGCAATTACAAAGGACATGGCCAAAGTGGAGCGTGCTCTGCCTGTGAAATTGCAAGAAGGGAAATAACACTTTCATCGATAATCACAACGAGGGGTTAAATCGGTGGGTCAAGTGTCACTATAGCGCGTGTCAAAAAAATATATATACATATATACTCGCGTACATATTTAATATATGTATATATATCTTACAGTTTGCTATTAAATCAGAGGATCAAATTTGAAAGCCAAAAATGCATTAATTAAAATTTGATAAGCTTATCTGTTATAGTTTTTTTTTAGTTTAACAAATCTGTCTTTTGAGGTTACTTTGTGACAATATTAATGATGTGACTCTTTACAATTATTTAAGAAATTTGATACAAACTTGTATTCTCATATAAATATACCTCACGGGTATAAAAATATTAGAAAAGATGTATTTTATTGGTTTTATATTGGTGTTCTGTGTGTTCATATATAAATATATCTATATACATATATCTTTTACACCTGTGAGTATGCTAAGAAATAGTATTATTTAAAGAGCAGCCAGCGGAGCACAAAAACAGACAACAGATTGTATATTTTGTCTTAGCTTGGTAACAAGTATTTTAATGTTATATATATATATATATAATATTTATACATATGCTATGTATATAAATAACAAATTAAATAATTTAAAAAACAAATTAATAAATTTATTTTAATACTGGTAATAATACTAAAAATGTCTTATAAAGATTCAATTTAGTATATTTTAAAAGGATGACAACTCTATAATATTGCACAACTTTGCAATCGGTGTAAACTCTAGATGTTGATTTCTCAAGAAGGCCTTGAACTTTTTATAGAAATTATCTTCCTTTAATCCGGCCGGTCAATGCAATTTTTAATTGAGACGAAGCAGGTTCAACTGGAAAACTCTCCTAATTTTCTACGCACAACCCAAAAAGAAAAACAAATCAAACTTGAAAAGTAAGTAAGAAAATCAAAGCGCAAAAAAAAACCGGAAAACTATAGGCTCTTCTTTTAGTTCTTTCATATTTGGTTAGAAATATCAAGAAATAAGCGAAAATGATTCCCGAGACAAACCCCGAAGTGTTGGAGGCCGATGAGGTACCAGAGTCTATCAATATTATGGGTCCCATTGAGGAGGCTCACGTGTTCGAAGGCTTTGACCATATTAATGACGATGAAGCTAATGAAGATGATGATAATGACGATGGAGTTGACGACGGGAATGACTTCATAGTTCGATTTGTCGTTGATGATGAGGATGAGGATGAGGATGATGAGGATTTTTATCCTTTTGCATATAGCGATCTTCTGCTGTTTGTTTATCAAGCATTTTTCCAATAAATTGTGACCAAAATGACTACCATCATCCTGTGACTTCATAAATGGGTTTTAAATAGAATTTTTTTGGTCTTGTTTATAGTATATATGTACATATATACATATGTATACATATATGTATAGCTTCCAATGTATAGCTTCCAATGTCTACCACGAGTAAGCTAAGAATAATTGTTGCAAGTGTGGCCACCGAAGCTCAAAAAGGGGCAACAGATTATATGTATACATATGTACATGTATGTATGTATTTTGTCTTTGCCTGGTACCAAGTATTTTCAATGTTATAAATAAAATATAAATATGGATATAGATAAATAACTAAATACATTATTTAAAGACAAATTAATAAATTCATGTTTATACTTTTAATGCTAATCATTTCTTATAATGACTACATTTAGTAAATTTTAAAAGGATGATAACTCTATAAAATTGCACAACTTTGCAACCTGTGTAAACTCTGGAAGTTGATTTCTCAAGAAGGCCTTGAACTTTTTATAGAAATGTTCTTCTTTCTTTAATCGGTCAATGCAATTTTTAATTGAGACGAAGCAGGTTCAACTGGAAAACTCTCCTAATTTTCTGTGCACAACCCAAAAAAGAAAGGGAAATCCAACTTGAAAAGTAAGTAAGAAAATCAAAACACAAAAAAAAGCCTGAACACTTTAGGGGTTTCTTTAGTTCTGTCATAATTGGTTAGAAGTATAAAGAAATAAGTGAAAATGATTCCCGAGACAAGCCCCGAAATGTTGGAGGCCGATGAGGTACCGGAGTCCATTAATATTATGGGTCCCATTGAGGAGGCTCACGTGTTCGAAGGCTTTGACGATAATAATGACGATGAAGCGAATGTCGATGGTGATAATGACGATGTAGATGGCGACGGGAATGACTTAATTGAGGATGAGGATGAGAATGAGGAGGATTTACATCCTTCTGCATATGGCGATGTTCTACTGTTTGTTTACCAAGCCATTTTCCAATAAATTGTCACCAAAATGACCACCATCATCTTGTGACGTCATAAATGGGTTTTAAAGGGGATTTTTTTGGTTTTATATATAATATAGAATATATGTAAATACATATGTATGTACATATGTGTGTATATGGTCTAGGCATTATTATTGCACGTGTGGCCATCGAAGCACAAAAGCAGGCAACAGATTGTACATTTTTGTATATCTCAGCTTGATAAAAACTATTTTGGATGTTATATTCATAAGTTCTTAAAAAATTTTTTAATTCTCTAAAAGCCAAATTCAGTAAGAAAAGTTGATTTAATATAAATACATATGTATGTACATATATATGAAATAATTGAAAAGGTTAAAGAACATTAACAAGACTTTATTTGTAGTTATAGTTTGCAGTTCCTGTTGGTTTCCTTTCAGTTTCCCTATCGAGGCCTCCTTTTGTTTGTCTTTGCCGCATTCAAATCAGCTTAATTAAATTGTAATTGAATATGTTTTTTTTTAAACAAACAAATCCGATGGAAGGGGGGTGTAATGAGGGTTGTGGTGGTTTGATGGCTGACGGTTGATAAGCCCATCGGCTTGGATTCTCTTTAAAGCTGCGGACAGGCGTCTTTATCCGTTCAAGCCATCAGACCATCAACCCATCATCAGGCCCCTTCTTAACAGCCCCTTAACCCAATCTTTGACAGTGCTGTTAAAAATATAAAAGAAAATACTATGAAATTTATAAAGTATATTAAAATTATTTAAAATTAATAAACAAACACATTAAAGCAAATCTATATTATATGATTTATATGTCTCTCCAATTTAAAAGTACTCTAAATATTTAAAAGACTTTGACTTATTAAGAAAGCCCTTTGTTTATATGTTTGCTTGGGAAAAAGTATTTGTGGCAATTTTTTTATTTTAAGTACTGTTAAAAAGTATATATTGTATGCTTAAATAAAATGTTAATTTATAAGCTTTTACTAAATTAAATATAAATACAAAAAGACTATCAAAATACCTATAAAAAATTTCTAAACTTTCAGGCTGAAAGGCCTTATAAATCATGTTTCTTATCTCTCCAACAATTTGTACAAATTATTAAAAACCAGATGAATATATTGCTCTAAAAACTAACTATTTTTAGCCATAAAGAGGCTAAATAAACACCTCTGACTATCACTAAGTAGAGACTGTTTGCTGTGCCAGCTCCTTGTTTATGCAACAAAACTAATTTAAAGTGCTTCACGCGGCGGTTGCCTTAATCCGCTGCCATGGTGTGTGTGTGTGTGTGTGTGTGTGTTCATGTCCTACACCCCCTTTTTTCTCTCTCTGTATGTGTGTGTGTGTGATAACTTTGTTAAGTTGTTGACACGCATATCGCGCATATGGGGTAAATAATAATAACAATATAGTCAGTAATTAAATGACACTGGCACGTGTCGCAACGAAGCCCAAAAAGTTCACAGGATGGCCAAAGGACACACCACACACACACACAAGCACAACAAACACACGCTGAACATACACACACACACATTTTGAAACACGCACACCCCAGGCTATGGACAAATCAATTATTTTGTCATCGCACTATTTTGAGGCCACAAAGTTATATAACTTATGGCATGGAAGCCCCAGGAATTCCAGACAATTGAAAGTTGATATTTTGAGAATATTTGAGTTCTATTCAAAAGGTTTTTTAATTAAATATTATAGTTATAACAATAATAATAACAATAATAATAATATTTCATTTGTTGAGTGTTGTATTTTTAAATGAAGAATAGGATCCAATCGGAAATTGATCATAACTAAGCTTCAAATATTTTGAACTTTTTGAATCAATAATTATTGCAATTTTTACGGTATACATTAGAAAACGCATAACTAAGCCAAAAAGCATTACTTATTAATCGGAAAGCTGTTCTATATTAGTTTTTATTACCTTAACAAATCTGCATACTCAAATTTACAAAAATTATTAAATTAAATTTTTACCAATTTTTTTTTTGTTTTAACGATACAAAATGTTGAACAAATTTGGAAAAAAATTTTTCTTGCCGGAATTAGCTAGATCGATTCTGCTGTTGATACTGATCAAGAATTTATATGATTTATAGGGTCGGAAATGATTCCTTCACTGACTAAAATTATAAAACCCTTTGCTAGATTCTTAAAATTGATTTTTTTGGTTATAAAACATTTATGTTGACAATTCAAAATTAAAAAATTGCATAACTAAGCCAAAGAAGCATTAATTTTAAATCGGAAAGCTGTACCATATTATTTTTTGTCACGGTAATAAGTCTGCGTACTCAATTTAACATGTAAGAAAACTAAAATGTTTGTCAATTTTTTTGTTAAATTTTAACAATGTAAAATTTAAAAAAAATCAAAATATGTTTTCCTGCCAGAGTTGGCTAGATTGATTCGTCTGTTTATGCTGATTCAGAATATATATTATTTATAGGGTCGGAAATGACTCCTTCACATCTTTAAAAGCGTCGGACTATAATTATAATACCCTTACAAAGAGTACTCAAACACTTAAAGAACTGCAAGAGTCAGGCATATGTGCAACTTCGTTTCATTTGGCAATTAAGAGCAGATACACAGGCACATACAAATTGTTCTACAAATGGTTAAAATCAGTGAATCAAGAAGGAAATCCCAGTTGAGTCGGGACGTTGACATTTAACAATTTTGCAAAATAAATTCAAATAAATCTTTGGCACGAATTAAATTTCATTTGTTTACGACTCAATGAAAAGCCACAAAGCCTACTACTGCCAATGGGCTTTCGCTGTCAGTTTTGAGTTGGTCTTTCCCAAAAGTCTGAACTCCACCCCATTTCCCTGTGATTTCCCACAAACATGGCACATAGCACCACCCTCGCTGAATATACAAATACATAAATTTATAGCTTGTATTTTTGGCACAATTAGGATTTGCGCATATAAACGCCCAACTTGTGTGTGTGTGTTTTGGCATTAAGTGCTTTGCCCCGAAAACTTTTAATTGAAATAATTTGTTAAGGCCTCCGGGATAGAGCAGAGTGACGAGATGAGACGAGACTCGTGTCTTTACAACTTTATTGAAATATCCCTGTCTTGAATATATATATATATATATATATAAATGTTTATGTATATATTCCCTCAATTGACTTACAGCTGCAACAATAATGGTCTCTTTTGCGGCTCAACAAATGATTTTTAATTACACACATTTCCAGGTTTGAGGGGATTTTTCGGAAAACTTCATTACTAATTGATTGGGTAAATATTGATTCTCATCAATGGCCTCAAGTTTAAAGTGGATTTTAAAGTTGAAGTAGATATTATTCATTGGTTTTTGCTTAGTTGCAGCTGTAAGTTTATCCTTTTAAGGTATTTTTTTTAGAAAATAAATAATTGCTGAATATATTTCCTAGAATTTATTCTCTTTAAACTATATAACCTTTATCGCTGCTAAATTTGTAACAAAAACGCTTGAAGCACATGCGACGCCTCACTGTAGTTGTGGTTGCTTCTGTGGTTGTGCCAGGATCTGTGGAGGATTCCGAGGACGAACTGCTGCTGCTGCTCTCCACAATTGTTGTGGTGGAGTTACTACTCTCCGTAGCCTCTGTGGTCACTTCAGTAGAGTCAGAACTTGATGGTATGGAGGTGGTTTCAACTGAAGAAGTGGTACTTGTACTTCCAGGGGTTGCCATCGTAGAGTTCTCCAATTCCAAATCCAAAAAATTCATAAAAGCACCCACAAACTTAAGCACAGAGAGACGATCCTCTGCCGTCAAGGTCTGAGCTTGGGTAATATCAAAAAGGCAGGTTCCTCCCATCAGGGAAAAGATGAAAAGCAAAGCGAAATGCTGATCCTGATTAAAGGCTGTCATCTTGTTCTAACTTCTTGGTTAACTGCACACAGTTTAGCATTTATATATTGTACTTATACCTCTCGGTGTAAAATGTTGTATCTCTATGCGGAAATCTTTTGGGCCCAGCTGTTGACCCACGTGCTTTACCACCAAAAAAATGAGCCACAAAGCAGAGCCAAGATAGTCAACGCTTCAGAGTTTTGGCCAGATGGTGAGTCAAGTTGGTCAATCTAACAAACTCAGTTGGGCTGCAAAATTCCACAGCAGATGATTTTATGGCTTAATCATCAGCTTTCATTTTGGTGAATGAAAGCCATTTCTGGGGTTATTTAAGCTATTAAAGGGAAGAGTTTAAATATAATTATATTTAAGACTTAGAGAGGAGGACTGACCTTTTTGGAAGGTGAAGATATGTCACAGAAAACTTTAGATTTAAGAAATAATTATTGGTAGTGATATGGTTTTGTGTAACTTTGTTTTACAAAGTAAACATTTGCCATTCGCCGCGAAGTTTTTGTATATTTTTTGGACAAAAAATACCACAAAATATCGATTAATAATGCAATTCAGCAAGTCTCTGATCTAACTCTTCTCTAATTTCTTATTATTTTTGACAATATAAATTATTTTTCTTTAAAAATGTATGAAAACGAGCATTTCGAGGCTGCCAATAAATAAAGCAAGGCTCCTTGATCTTGATTCTTGGTTTCTGCTTTAAAGTTGAGGTAGAAACACAGTCTATTTTTCTTTCAAATTCAGGGTTTTCATCATTTTAAACTTGTATATTAATATTTTATAAAAAAGGTAAATTTATTATTAAGGAGAAGGGGTGGATGAAGTTCAAGTGTTGCAAAAGAAATTCCAAAATGGACGCCTTCGATGCCGCCATGTTGGAAAATACAAAGTAAACAAAAACTGAATCAGCTGCTTTTGCCATTCACATGTCGCCTAACAATAAATCAAAATATCTATAAGACTTTAACACTTTAACACCCTCAAAGCTCTAGATGAAAATCAATAATGATCTCAACTTCCAGTGGTTTTAAACGCGATTTCCTCAACATCTCTCAAGAGACCACAAAGCCCACGCGAGATAAGCAAAGATTACGGCCGGAACATGCAAAAAGAATTCCATAATAATGATGATGCACTGCGATACATAAGCTGGGGGAGGCACGTTTTACAGCATGCCAGAGTGGGTTATGACTATCGCTGAGGGGGCTCGATAAGCACCACCAGAGATCGTATAAAAGAGGTGAGACACCGGTGAGATCTATCAATCACAGCAAGTGACTAGCAGCGACAACGAGATCAAGATGTGGCGTCTGCATTTGTTTCTACTGCTCTCCACGTGCTTCCTTATACCGCACGATGCCAAGCCCATGACCAGGACGAAGACAACAACCAATGGATTACCACCGACGACGACTTTGGCTTCGCTGCTCTTGGAAACGGAATCCACCACGGAGGGGCCAAGCACTTCGCCCAGGACATCATCGCGTTTCACCCATATTGGACGTTTGGCTGCAAAGGATTTGGCCGATTTGCTTTTGGCCAGCATGCAGGCTCGTGGGGCTAAGCTCTCGTCCTTCCAGGAGTCCACCATGAAGATGCTACGCACAGAGGTGTCCAAGGAGGTCAAGGGGAACAATATGTTCCTACAGCTGGGCATGGATGTGATCATTGATATACTGATTGGTGCTCGTAATGAGGCCACCTGCAGTCACATTATTCGTGATATTGAGCAGTCACAGGATCGGAATAGCCTCACCCTAACGCTTAGATCCTTCCTGGCCTTGTTGTCTTTCAATGGCATCGCGTGCTCCCAGGATGAGGTGAGCCAGGCTATTAAGAGTTCTCTGCTAAGGCAGCGACAGCAACCGACCATTAAGGCTATTGATAGTGAGCAACAGGAGACCGAAGGATCGGGTATACGATCTGCCAGGAAAGTGGATTCAACTGTCAAGGACGATCGCGATTCGGTTTTGCAATTCTTGCAGGCGCGCAGCCTGGACGAACATAGTACCATCCTTAACACCCTGCTGCAGGTGTGTGGAGCTTCTGCCGGAGAGGCCCACAAAATCATCAGGAATCTGAGAGAAAGTGAGTAACTTAAAGCTATTTTAAGGATATCTTTTGTAGGAAGTGACAAGTAAGGAGTAGCGAAAAGGTAGTAACGTGTACTGAGTAAAGATTAAGGAGTAGCTAGTAAAGAGTAACGAGCAAAAAGAGAGAAAAACACCTCAAGTAACGATTCAAAAAAATACCAATATATAATAATCAAGCGATTAGAAACTAAATAATATAAAAAAGACCTAGAAACTAGTTAACGAGTTAAATATTAAAACAAATACCAAAGTAAAGAGTAACGAGTAGGGCTTAAAAAGTAACAGTTAACAATTGAAAAAAGCACCCCAAGTAGGAAATATATAATAATCAAAAGTAAGTAAAGGCACACTCACTTTACGTTAAAATATTACAAATAATACTAAAGTAACAATTGCTTAGTCAGAGTCATAAGTTGCAAAACTAGTTTATTTAGTAGAGTTTATATTTCTCACATAATTCACTAATTTATTTATTTATTTAATATTTTATTATCCCTTATTTTCAGTGGGTCCCGAGAGTACTACAACCCTGCAAGTGAATGCCTTCAGCATGCTTTCTGTCTCCATGCTGGATAGTCTTTCCTCGATCGCTGATGGCAATACGAGTGGCTTGTGCTCTGCCAGTCCTGCTACCTGGATTGTTCGCCTCTTGGCCATGAAAGTGGGCAAAGTGGTGCTTCTTGGCCTAATGACTGCCCTCGATAATACTCTGGTTAGTCCCACGCCCACAGAAACGGCCAATGCGATGGCCTTGAATAGTGTTAATGGCGGTGATATTACCGATTTTAAAACTCCCCTCGGCTCAAAGGCATCCATTACGGCAAAGCGTGCCAGTAGCAGTCCCGTGGATCTATGTAAGTTGTACGAAAGAGTTACTTTTCTAACTATTTACTAAGCATTTGCTTTATATATATTTTACAGTAAGTTCCAATTCTTTGGGAAATGTTCAAAATGGTGAGTTATTGATCCATTTTCATCAAAGGAAAAGATTTAATTTAGATTAATCTTTACAGTGGCAACTGGCACTAATATAGAGGGAACTCTGAACAAATCTTTTGGTCTGGCTAAGGCTGTGGTACCCGTCAATGCTGATGTGGATGCTTTAAGTGATGCTACCAGTGGTACCAACACTCAGAACAGTTCGTATTTTGAATATTATACCCTATTTTTAAATATTAATTATGACTTTTCTTAATAGTTGTTGCTGGAACAAATGTGAAAGGTGTGGAAAACACTGCAACGAATGCGGTGCAGGCTTTGGTGCCGGTTAATGCCGATGTTGATGCCTTGACTGTTGGTACAGGAGGCAGTGGCAGCACTCAGAATGGTTCGTATATAATATATCTTAAATATATTTAATTGAATATAAATATTAACTATAATTATATACTTTTAGTACAAGCTGGCTCAAATCTGGTTGGTAGTGGCAATACTGCCAATGGACTAGTTAGGGCTTTGGTACCCGTCAATGCTGATGTGGATGCTCTTGACACAGTTAATGGTGATGGCACTGGCACCAATCAGAATGGTAATTTAACTAAATTTGCCTTAATTAATATTTAAATTATAACTCTTAATTTATTACCCATTAGTTCAAGATCCCACAACCATAATTGGCGATGGCAATCAATCCTCTGACTTGGTCAGAGCTCTCATTCCGGCCAATGCTGATGCTAACGTATTAACTGGACTTAAAGATGTTGGCATTAACACTCAGAATGGTAAGTATACTATTAACTATTATATAAACTTTTTATTTAATGGGTATTATTATGCTTCTTATTTGACAGTACAATCTGGAACATTTATCAAGGGAAATAAGAATACCAGATCAGAGTTAGTGGGTGTTTTGCTACCTGTCCAAGCCACAGCTGATGCCTTGTCAAATGTGGATAGAACTACTTCTACGGGTTCGACAGGATCTTCGGGATCTTCAGGATCTACAGGATCTTCTGGTTCATCTGGCACTTCATCGGGTACACCATCTTCCTCTGGTTCTAGTGGTTCCACTGGCTCTGGCTCTACTGGTAAGACACACTTTCCCTCAGAACTCTTAACAGTTTGGATGTTATTTCCCTTACTATTACAAAACTGTATAATCTCATTAATATTTCTTTATAACCTTTAACCTTTAACCTTTATAATCTAATTACTTTGATTTTACCCTAACTGTAGGATCTGGAGATTTGCTTGGTGGCAACAAAAACACCTTGACCGAGTTGATTAGCCTCAATGCACCCATTGCTATTGTGATATCTCTGTTGAGCACTATCCTAGGAGGTGGTTTTGGTAACAACATGAACAGTGAGTCTCTATTGAACTTCTAATATATATATATTCGATTTGATATTTACTTATTATATTTCCCCGTTTAGTTCGTGAGGGTGCTATCATGAATGGAACTGGCAATAGCGTTATTAAAGGAGTGTCAGTTACTCCTACAATTAGCCTTATTGTCTCTGTACTGTCCACTGTGAATCCTGGCGGTGTTAATCACACCAATGCAGGTAAGATATATTTCTATATATAGATTATATAGACCCTATATTGGAGTATTACTATATAACTTATTAACTTCTTTGTTAAACAGGTTTGCTAGGCGGTCTGCTGGGAGGTTCTGGTGGCTTACTAGGAGGAGGTTTGCTAAGTGGAGGATCCAGTTCCAGTTCCGGTGGCTTGCTGGGAGGTCTAGGTGGAGGATCCAGTTCTGGTGGCTTGCTTGGAAATGGTCTAGGAGGTCTGCTGGGAGGATCAGGCCTTGGAGGTCTCCTGGGTGGTGTGGTTACCACAGTTGAGGGTCTTCTAAGCACTCTCCTTGGCGGTGTCCTTGGCACTGGCCTTGGCAGTCTCCTCTCCGCTGTTCTGGGCGGTGTTTTGCCCCCTGTTATCAGCACTGTGGAACAGCTGCTGGTTCATCTGATAAGTCTTTTGGCTGGCGGCACTGGAATCACCTCTGGTGGCACCTGTATCCCCAGTAGTAATTCAACCAATTCAACCGCTGCGAGCAACTTATCTGGTGCTGGTGGCACCTCTAGCTCCACTGGCATTGGCAATTCGCTGAACAAGAGTGCCGATGTCACCATCCTTGGCAATGAAAACACTGTCGTTAAGCTGGTGAGCGTGGATGGTACCGTCTTGTGTTCGCTTTTCCTTTTAGACAGCATCCTGGGAACGGGTTTCATTGGTAATTCGGCCAACGGTAAGTTTGGACTTCATTAATTGAGAAATTCATTATTTAATCATTTTGGTTTTCTATTGGCAGTGGGTCCCAAGCACATCATTGTGGGCAATAATAATAAGATTGTAAAGCTGGTAAATTTGGATATTGTGGCCCTGCTTTTCCTCAGTGTGGGCAGCATTATTCGAGGCAGCGGCGGTGTCTGCAACCAGATTAATGGTGAGTGTAAAATGGTGATCCTTTTGGTTATTCTTTGTACTAACTTCCTTTTCATTTCTCTGGTTTTTAGTGGAACCCGAAAATGAAATTGTAGGCGATTGTAATACCGTCTTTGAGCTGGTCGACATAGATTTGAACCTGCTCCTAGATGTGGCTGTGCTGAGTCAATTGATTGGCTCGGTGGCTAATGATTGCAGTGCCACCACCACTACCACAACAACTCAGCCTCCGACACCACAGCCACCAACTCCATCCCCACCAACTCCGTCTCCGCCAACACCTTCACCACCAACTCCATCGCCACCTACACCTTCACCACCGACTCCTTATCCACCAACCAATCAGCCTCCCACCGTACAGCCACCCACCGTGGGGCCTCCCACCATTCGGCCACCCACCGTTCGTCCGCCATCGCCGAATCCCAACAATTGCTATCGGCGTTACTGCCGCAAATGGAGGACTAGACCCAGCTATCTTTGCTACAAGAATTGCGGCGGTAACTTCACCTACAAGCCCTAGGCTGAGCAAGGATCACGATCAGGTTAAGGATCATCACCGACGAAGGAATCAGCAGAGGAAAAAGCAACTTCTCGTCAGTCACTTCATCTTGTTAAGCGTGGCCCTGTCGGCCACTCTGCCATTGGGCATTTATTTATTTTGTTTACTTGCTAAGTGAAAATTGTTTAATTTATTTACCAAAAAATATAAAATAGTAATTGAAGCATTAATTGGAGGTATTTTTACTTTATTTTTATATTTATTATGACTTTGTTTGTGTACCCTTTTTAGTCAAAAACTTTTAAAGCAGTGAGGGAGTCATTTCCGACCCTATAAATGATAAAAATTTCCGATTCGAACCCATAATTAAATATGACTTGAATATGGGACACAAGATTTCTTAAATTTTCGTATATTTGGAAAGATTTTTTTTACTGAATACCTTTAAGGCTTTTTGATCATTTAAAACAAAGAAAATGTTTTTCTAAATATAATTGTAATTTTTTTTGAATTAGTTTTCTTGAATTTAGTTCAGTTTAGGGTTAGTAACTATGTACAGTAGTGACTTGTTACTTTTGGAATTGCACACACAAACACACACACACATCACATATCAAAGAGTTGGTCGGCAGCTAGCAGCCGTCGCTTCGTTCCGGGGATGTTAGAACAAGTTGGGAATCATATGTGCACACCAGCGAGATACAGATTCAGTAGCTTGTAACTCTGTCGGGAGTCATTTCCGATCCTATAATCCATATATATTCATGATCAGCATCAAAAGCAGAATCGATCTAGCTACCCCAGGCAGAAAATTTTTTTTTTTAATTTTTTCAACATTTTTTAAAAATTAAAAAAAAAAAATTTATAAAAATTTGAATTCTTAAAAATATTAAATTGAGTATGCAGATTTATTAAGCTTATCAAAACTAACACGGAAATACTTTCCGAATTAAAATTAATGCGTTTTCGATTGAGTTATGAACTTTTTAAATTTTTATTTGTCAAAATAAATGTTTTATATAAGAAAATCGATTTTTAGAATCTAGCAGAGGCTTTTATAGTTTTAATCAGTGAAGGAATCATTTCCGACCCTATAAATCATATATATTCTTGATCAGCATCAAAAGCCGAATCGATCTAGGCATCTTAGAGAGAAAACATTTTTTTTTTAATTTTTCAAGATTTTTTAAGGGTTACTCGTTAAAATTATCAGAAAAAAATGTTTAAAAATTTAATTTTTTTTAAATTGTAAGTAAAGTATGCAGATTTATTATCCTGTCAAAAACTAACATAGAGCAGCTTTCCGAATTAAAATTAATGTTTTTTTGGCTTAGTTATGACATTTTTAAACTTTAATTTGTGGACAAAAATTGTTATATTAAAATATATTTAAATATCGATTCAAAATGCGAATATTTTAATTTTAGTTATGATTGATTTCCGGATTCGATCCTATAATTCAATTACAAAATGCAACTTGATTAATTATTATGTATTTTATTATTATTAATATAGATTTTTATAGATATTAAGTAAAACTGTTCATCTAAAATAAAATTTTAAATTTTTGTTAGGTTTATAAATATTATTTGCTTAATTATAAATGATTTATTAGCTTTAAATTTTAAAGTAATGTCTTCCGTCTATTATAATACCAATTTTTTGTAAATATCTTACCCTCATAAAATTATAAACTCTTAGCTCACCCAGAAATTATGCAAATAGAGACCTCCCGTCCTGCAAAGTTTTTTTTATAAACCATTTAATTTATGCCAGATACAGCAAATGCAATTACATTCCCCGGAAAGAACTCACGCCCGCAAACAACAAAGTTTAAAACGAGAAAAACGAAAAAAAAAAGTTACGCTTTATAAATAAAAGATAACATTATTAACATCAAATACCTGAAAAGACCTGAAGTTAGACAAATGGTCGTCAACGGACGGAAATCGGGAAATGCTACCCCCCAGGGGGTGGCACAGAGAAAAGCGCTCCGGAACGTGCCCCCGGTGCTCGGCATGAAATCATAATGAAAGCAATAAAAGCATCAACGAAAAAAAAAACAGAAGAAGAAACACCTCCCAGAAAGAGCTCCAGAAAAACAGAGCCATCCAAGAGACTCGACCTGACCTGAACCGAGTCTCACCTCATAATTGATGACCTAAGTAATTTGTTATGGCTCTCTGGAACGTGTGGCAAACACAAACAGCACGACAACAACTGCGGAAGACCAAAATATGGAAGCAATTATAAAATTTTCATTAAAAAAAATATGAAAACGCAAAAACCCCACCAAGATGCCTACCGGGAATGACAAATGCGACAACAACAAGAACAGCAAACAAAAAGTGACACAAACTTTTTTGTGGGCCTGCTAATGATGGCCATCAGTCCGCCGGGGTGTTAAATAAATATATATATTATGCAACACCTTTTTAGGGAGGTGTTGGCACCCAGAGGGACCTCTCAATGATTATTTGGTACCCCAAAGGTCGTTCCGGTGGATAATCTAGTTCACGGTAAAGTGTTTCCATTAAATGCCACAAACTTTTAACACCTCGAAAAAAAGGTAGAGAAGCGAGAGAGGAATGCGGTCATAAATCCAAGAGAACTTTCATAAAATTCCATCAAAATTCAACAGAGAGCAGTTTTTTGATTATTTTTAACTTACTTTAGTTGTCTGATTAGGGGTAATTGTAAGTTGTAAATTACCTAAAGTAATTTGTTTACATTTTTGGAAGAGTATTTTGCTTTTAAGCCTTTATTTAAGGGGAGAAGCTCTAGGTTTAAAAAAAGTTAAAAGAGATTAAGAGGATTATTTTTAATATATAATATAAATAAAGGATAATAGGAATATAATAATCATGTAATGATTACAATTATATTCAAAACTGCTGACTCAATATTTTTAATATTTTATTTAAATTAAAGGTTTTAGTCTCAATTTTAAATAAATATTTAGTTGTTGAGTTCTTTATGAACATTTTATTTAAGGATATATTTAAATATATATTCTTTTAATTTTTTGAACTTAACTGTCTATGATCAATTTATTTTTAGATAAATTATTATATATACTGCTATACTTTTAAAATATTTACTTGTTGAGCTGTTTATGAAAGACTTGGTTAAGGATAAATTTGAATATATATTCTATTAATATATAATACATAATAAATATATGGTTTACTTTATTTATTAAGTATTTACTTTTTAAGCTGTCTACAAAAATAATTAAAACACATATTCTAGTATATATTCTACTATATTTATTAAATACTTACTAAGCTGCCTGTGTTTAAAATATTTTTGTATAAATTCTTATGTATGTATATATATCTTATATCTTGACAATATTTCAACATCTTCCGCCATGCAATAAGCTTTCTATCCTACCCTTTTACTTTAACTGAATTTACTGAAACTTGGTGAGACTTTCCATCACTTGTTGCCAGTTTTGGTTTCGTGATGTTGGCCAAAAACTCTCCTTCCCCCTTTTACTTAACTTTATTTGCCAATCGATATTTTGGGCATTGGGCATTGAAAATGCAACAGACTTTTAGGCGCAGACATGTTTTATGTACTTGTCAGTCGTCAGCAGACAGAGCCCCGAGACTACAGTCCGGAACATGACTACAAGTTCCGCAGTGTTGTACATCTCCCACACTGTCGTCGACTTTACTTTCGCTACTCCTCTGGATTATTCTTCTTTGCCGCTGCCGCTTTTATTATTGTACATAATTTGCACGTGCTGCGAATATCTAAAATTTACGACCAGCATAGACACAAAAACCGAGAGCGAAAGTGCACAGGTTGGCTGTCCTGTCCTGTCTGCGGGGGGTTGGGTTTTCCAGGGGTTTTCGGGGGTAGGTGGATGTTGTCCTCGTGTACATTATTTTGCTTTCAAGCGTTGAAATAAAAGGAAAAGTCGCCAAGCTTTAAATGAGTAGGAACGACACATGGAGAAAATACAAATCTCTAAAGAGTATCTATTTCATGATGAAATTATGTACTTTTGTAAAATAATATCACTTAAAATGGATAATGTTACAAAGCATAAATTATACGTATCGAAATCGGAAATCCATCTTTATTCAACCTGGATCTCTATTTAAAAAAGATTTCAGGATGTCACAGCCTTAAAAAAGTGATTATATATATGATATGTTAGTGATTTATGGATTATTTACCATTACTTCTCATCAATCATTATAACTCATAATAAAAATAATTAAATAATATAATGACTAATCCGAATCAGTTCAAAAAATAACCCTAATTACTATGCAAAACACATCTTCTTTATATTCCTTTCAAAAATAGCCTATTTGTTATCCTTTTTTACAGATAGTGGTCACATTGAGCTGCCATTGATGCTCTGAGCAGTACCTGGCCACACTGCTATCACAAAAATCACAAAATGTACTCGTAATTATCAGAGCTGATTTTTTTCCAAGTGCAGTCCATTGGGTACTGCCTCCCTGCCCCCTTTCTATTTTGTTGTCTCTAGGTGAGTGAAATCTTCCACAACCTGCCCCCCGGGGCCCCTTTCGACTGTCTGTCTCCGCCACCGCCTCCGTGTATCTGTCTGTCTGTCTCTCTGTCTGACTGGCTTGCTTACTTTTACACGTTTTATGTCGAAAAATAAATGTGAACTAATGCATTTTTATTAATATATACAAGCGTGCTGGGAATTTCAAGCTGGGAAATGATGTCGGGGCCAGGATATGGACCACCGGGTTCCCCCTGAAGCCCCAGGACTTCTGACGATGATTAAGCGTAAAAACCGCAAATGTTTTTTAAATGCAGTGCAAATGCTTGCGGGTCATGCTCGATGCTTTTGCTATATATACTATATAGACTGTATGTGTTATTTTTTTAGCTTTTTTTGAAGTTGAGAGCGACTAAGTGAGTAGTTTGTTGGATCGTGTTGAAATATTTAGCACGGCGCGTACGTGCCGACATTGTTGCCGGTCTCTCTCTCTTTGCTCCGGATTGGATTTTATATATATTTGTACAAACAGCGTCGAAAAATTCCAAAATAAAAGTGTGTCAAGACCCAATTTCCACTACCCATTTTCCACCCCAAAAAGAAAATAAACGCTTGCATTCAAGCTAGTGGAAAGTAAGTGCAAATTCGCCATTTACAGATACAGATTCATAATAAAAGTTGAATTGCCAAATGTCCA